AAAAGCAAGTAGAATTAGGTTTCTTTTTTTATTAAAAAATCTATGCAATCTCGGGAATAAAACCAGACGAAAAAACTGTAGAAAGGATCACGTTCTGTTTTTTTAGAAAAGCAATAGAAAGAAAAAAATCTTTTAAAGGTAAAAGTTTTTTTATTTCTTATTTAACTAGCATATTTCGAAATATATATATATAAAGTGAAGACCTTTACCTATTTTGTGGGTTTTGTTGGAGTAAGGAGGGTGGGTATAGGGGGTTTGTTTCTAGTTCTAAGTTTTAGGTAGTCTTTGCGGTGGCCGGAAATAGAGAAGTCGAAATGTTTAGGGGGTTTTGGGGGTAATTAGGAGTAGTATTTGGTGATTTTAACCCATATCAGGGCTAAGGAGTGTGAGACGAAGCAAACAAGGCATTTTGGGTCCGATTTAGGAACTCCGGCCACCGTGGGTGGTGAACGGAGCGACGGTTAAGACGATGGCGTGAGAGGCCAGTAGGGGGTCGGCCGAGAGAGAGAATGGAGGGTTGAGAGAGTTTTTTTTTAGATTTTTCTTCTGAAATAGGTTAAAAAAGAAAAAAAAAGAAATGTATTTTATAGAAGAGTTTAGGGGTTATTCACGTTTAAGTCACCCAAGGTTAACCATGTTTTTACATTTTGGTCACCTGCGAGGACCAAATTTATGATTTACCCTTTTTATGTGTGTTATGTATTTTTGGTATTTTTGTTTTTTAGTCCTCATAGGTTTTAGCTTGTTTGCATTCTGGTCACCTCAGTGACTTTTTAATTTTTTTTTTGAAATCTTGTTGTCCTAATTATGTAATTTTCGCATATTTATTTATTAATGCATATTTGGCTTATTAAAAATAGAAAATCACATTTTAATCCTTCTTATTTTAGCGTGTTTTTGCACTTAGGTCCTGAATTTATTTGTTCTTTTGTATGCTCAATTTATTTTTAATCCATATAGTTTGATGCAAATGTGATTTAAGCCCTGCATATTTATTTTTTTAATTTAAATGATTTTGTTTGTTTGTTTTTTTAATTTTAATTTATTTAATTGGGTTGTTATTTGAATTTATATTTCTAGTTTTTTATTCAATTAGTTTTTAGAAATTGTCCTTAGATTAGGATCTTTTAATGCCAAATTTAATTTAGTAATTAGGATCTCACCTTAGTTTTAATTAGGGAACAATTCAATTCGTGTTTTTGCATAAAATATCAAATTACTCGAGTCGATTGTTTGAATCCTTAAAGTGTTAATCATCAATTAATTTTGAAGCTCACCTAATTTAATCTCTTAATTTTTAATAGTTAATAAGGATAATTATTAGAGCCTTGATTTATTGGTTAGTCCTTAAACTTTAGGCATTATAGATTTTGACCTTAAACTTTAAAGTTTTACATTTAGGTCTTTGGATTTTAGTTTCCTTGTACGTTAGTCCTTAAACTTTTATTTAAACTTTTTAAATTAACATTATTAAATATGTTATTAATTAGAGCCTCCACTTTAGGTTAGATTTCAATCTAGGCCCTTTAGTTTAAGGAGTAATCTGAATTGGCCCTCGCCTAAATGCTCAAGGGACCATATCGATTATTAGATTCAATAACTAGTTAAAATCAAGTAGGATTAATATTAGAGTCTACATCTTTTGAGGTTTATGCCTCTAGGTTCTTTAATAATTTGACACTTTAAGATAGAGAAAGTCTTAATCTACCCTTAGTTTAATTAGGGTTAATAATAAATTTGTTTGATTTCATTTTATTTTAAAGCTAAGGCAATGTTCATTTATTAGAGAATCAATAGTATATCTCCCGCAAGTATGCTCAGGGGGTGACCATTGGTGATTCCCGAAATAGGTCGACATCCTTTCCAAGTCTGCATCATGATTTCTTAAATATCGATGCAATGTTCAGTTATTGGGCATAATAGTTAATCTCCCACATTCATGCTAGGGGCGAATGTTATTGGCTTTAATAAACGAATATCATTTTTAACTTTGCATCCATAATGATTTTTAAATTAGATAAAGTTTGAACTCAAATTTTATTATTCTAAATATAGGGTAATCAACTAGGTACCAATTTTTTGGCGTTGTGGGGGTGCTAATCCTTCTCCACGTGTAACTGACTCCCGAACCCGCTTTATGGTTTTTGTAGACCCTAAATTTGGTATTTTTGATAAAATAAAATAAAATGTTTTATTAAAATCACCCGTTTTTATGATGTCTTGATCGCACCTTAAAATGATTGGTGGTGACTCCTCACATTTCAAAATCTTTTCAAAGAATAAACTAAGTCGGTACATGTTTTCCCCCACCCGGACGAAAAACAGTGTCGACAAATGAGACGCTTTACGAAGGGATAAAGGAGTGGTGAGCGAACCATACTATCTAGCAAGCTACTTCGTTACACAATTCTGATTATATCGACAAACGACCTTTACGAAAGGGGGCATTTGACTATATGTAACCATCGATAAATCAACTAAAGAAAAGTCAAAGAGGAAGAGGAAGACAAAGAAAATTGAGAGAAAACCTAATTTGAAAATAATTGAAAGAGAAAGACGGCTTTTACCTTTTAAAAAAATGTATCATGTATGAATATTTTGTTTGGATAAATAATCATCAAAAGAGAAGTAACGATATTAACAGTAAGTAATATAAAATATGTCTTTAGATTTGTAAAAATATATTAATATTGTTAGGATTAATATATATATATATATATATATATATATATATATATATATATAGTGAGATTAGATGTATTAAATACAATAAAATTAAGAGTTACTAAAAATAACTATTTAGGTAAGATTAGAATTAGGGATTGGACTACCAAAATATCTTTTTTTTATTTCTTATAAAATTTAAAATTATCCATTTTCTTTCTCAAACAAGAAAATTTAGTTTCAAAAATTTTAAAAACTTTGATAAAAAATATTTTTTAAAATTACTTATTTCAATATATTCTAAAAGTTTATTGGATGCACATATCGGTACTGGCACCCTTTAAATTAAGTTTTTTTTCTTAGTTTTCTCTAATTGGTAAGTTATTTATTTCTTCTTCTTCTTTTTGTCTCTGTTGATCAGTGGCGGCACCAACTTTAATGTAGATTGTCGACCGTCGAGATTTTTTTATTGTCCTTTTATTTTATTTTGTTTTTTATTTTCAATAAGTCAATCTGTATGGCACATTTTCCTCTGCCTTTATGGCACGTTTTCCTCTGTCTTTATGGCACATTTTCCTCTGCCTTTATGGCACGTTTTCTTCTACCTTTTGACATGTTTTTCAATCGTTGTTTTATTTATCTTTTTTTGAGGGTTGATTAGACGTCATCACGACTAATCAAGATATCACTTATTTGATATATTGTTGATATTCTCTGCTTTAGACCTTAGGATTAGATTTGGATACCCGTTATGCGTTCGTGAATGGCTTTTCACGTCGCTCGAGTATGATTTATGATTGTTAGTGGTCTTTTAGTAGCTTGATCCTCTTTTTTTTGTTCATTTGCCAATACGATCAGATCTGTTTGTATTTGTCTTTGTTCGAGTTTTCTAGGTTAGATTTTAATATTTCATTGCATGGTCCTTATGTGATCTTAAGTTGCTAGTTTTGTTTCAATGATTATAGGAAATTGTTTTAAATATGTATTTAATTTACAATTATGATCGTAATTCTTTATTGTAATTTAAGATATTTTCTATTTTACATAAAATTAGTGATTTCTTTTAAAAAATTAAATTAATATTCATGTCCATTATTGTTTATATTCAACTGAAACTTCTTACAAATTATTAAATTGATTGTGTTTAAAAGTATTTAATCTATTCAAAAAAATTAAGTATATGTGATTCAAAGAAATTATGAATAATTCAAATATTAAAGAAGAGAGTTTATTATTGATATCGATTAAACTACTCGCAATGCTCAACGAGGAAAATAGGGTTTATCACGAACGCAATATTGAAATGATAACCTAATCCGAGTTTATTATCTAACGATTAATTTTTGTTTAAATTTAATTATAAAAATATTATCGTAGTAACATATAATCTTATATTTAGTTTTAAAATTAAATAAATAATAAATATTGAATTTAAAGTCTACACAACACTAATTTTCGTTTCTTTTTTTCTTTTGGCCACGTTACTTTTTTTCGTGACGACACTAATTTTAATGTTGGTCACTGACAATTTTATTTATTATTATTTTTATTTTATTATAGCATATTTTTATTTTTCTTATTTTAAGTTTTCAATAACTTTATATTTATAGTATGTTTTTCTTCGCCTTTATGATATGTTTTTGGTCGTTTGATCGTTGTTTTTGTTTATCTTTTTTCTCAGTGTTGTATTTGACATCAACACGACTAATCATGATTACGCTTATTTGTTATCATGTTGATCTTCCCTACTTAAGATCATCATATTGATTTGAATACGCGATTTGTGTTCGTGGATAGTTTTTTCACATCGCTCGACTCTGATTTGCAGTTTGTCGGTGGTCTTTTAATAGCTTGATTTCTTTTTGTGATTCACTTACCGATACAATCAGATCTATTTATATATATTTATTTAGTTAGATTTTTTAACCTTTTTCCCTTCCTTTTATGATTTGAAATAACTAGTTTTCTTGTCTTATAATTACAAGAAAATGTCATTGTTTTTAATTTACGGTTATTATTGTAATATTATAATTTGGATATTTTTAAATTTTTAATAAAACTAATTGTTTCTGTTAAAATAAATAAATAACGAATGTAAGGTAAAAATAAATATAAAGAAGAATAAAAATCTCATAACTCAATGTCACCGACCCATGAATAAATTTGATAGTTATTTTACTCTTACGTCAATGATCTCACGTGTCTGACGCCTTTAATAAATTTCATGCAACTTGTACAATGCTTCAGGTATCCCTTCTTCTTATTTATTAATCTACAAACAAGTTCAATATTTTCCCCTCCACCATCCTCTTTGCACTCTCAAAATGCCCAAAACCATGCCGTCCAAAACTGAATCCAACGGGGACACCTCCATTGAGTCCAGCGGAACTTCCCAAGAAATCATCCATCCATTTGCATGCTCTCGATGTCCGAGAAGATTCCCTTCCTGGCATGCCTTAGGGGGTCACCAAAATGCTCACAAGAAGGAAAGAAATGAGGAGCAACGGCTGTACAATGAGCGACTACTCGCATTCAAGAAGCAGTCTCCTCCGGTGACTATTCCACTTGCTGAACCAGTGATTACGATACTGAATTGTTACTTTCATGTGGGTAGCAATGATGGTCCTATGGTGCATATTCTGTCCCTTGGTCCACAAACGCCGGTTTTCATGGCGAGCGGCGTCAATGGCGAGGGTTCTCATCGAAAAATCGAAAATCCGCATCCTCGTAACAAGGCTGGTAATAGGAAGGGAATAGGGTTGAACCTGTTTGGGCATGAAGAAAGGGATTTTGGGTCATTTAGTGAAGCAAGGGAAGATGGTGCTGCTGATGAAAGCAATGCAAAGGAGGAGGAGGAGGTGGACTTGACTTTGAGGCTTTGAGGAAATAAATGAGAATCTGTTCAATATAAATAAACTAAAATTATAGAAAAAAAGTAAAATATTTTCAAGTTTTATCTTTTACCTTGTCACCCAAGTCCTTAATTTTGTAATACAATGCTATGTCAACTATGTTTCAGATATCTAGTGTAGTTTTCATTAAGTAAACATATATATCTGCTTTATCTGTTGGTATCTGTTCGGAATTTTGCACGAATTCAAATCTTTTTAAGAGAATGACATTCCCTTTAACCATTATGACCATTCGATAAGTTTTTATACATATACATTAGTGGTGTTTTTTTATCAAAAGTGAAACACTCTATGTGAAGGGTGCTCAATTTATATATATTCTACGATTTTTGTTGGTGTAGTGTTTATTTTGAGTTCGTTTCAGTTTTGTTTGATATTTCACACACCTTACAGATGTAGCTGCTCGAATCTAAGATCTTTAGAGAGTACAACATTTCATTTTACCATTGAAATTACTTGATGAATTTATTTTTTGTTGATTAATAATTTGCATTTGGACAATGAAAAATGAATAAAAAGAAAGTGATCCTCAAATGGAGATGAGATTTGTCAAAAAAATATTTATGCATTATGATTACAATAAATTAGGGTTGAATCTAGGATTTCCATGAAGGGGAGATGAATAATTTATTTATGGTAATCATAATGTATAAATAGTTGACAAATATATTAACTAAATCATAATTTATGAATATATTTATTGATAAACAAAAAGAATTAATCAATCTCATATTATAATATGCAACGAATACTATAATTCAATTAACTTACAACATAACTACTATCGTAATCGTCCTTCGGGTGGTCCCAAAATCGGTTATTGACTTGAATTAATGTGATGGAGTCACCACCGATCATTTTAAATTAGGTTAATCGGACACCTTAAATTGCCGTTTGTCAGATCTACAACTTACCAAAATTAGTCGGATTCGGGAGTCGATTATAGTCAATGAAGGATTAACACCCTTGTATTGCCCTTTCGGTACACTTTGATTTCTCGATTGTCTTAATTATGAAAATTGAAAATTGAAATTAAAATTTAAAAATTCGATCCGAATTACTTACCTTTGACCAAGTTTAAAAATGCCTAAAAAGTAAAATTAATGTTAAATAATAAATAAAGATAAAATAAAATAAAAAAAAGATCACGGTGTCAAATTAAAAATATATAAATATTAAATAGGATTAAATTGAAAATAATTAAAAATTAGGGGTCAAATCGATGCTAAATGAAAGATGCAGGGAAAAATAAAAAGGTTAGGGGGCCAATTTGCGAAATATAAAAATATAAACAATTATTAAATTGAATTAATTCAAAATTCAAGGGTAAAATTACAACATGTGACCAAAATAAATTATGCATCAAAACTTCAACGAATGCAAAAGTAATTTAAGAATTTAGTAATTACACAGAGGTTCCCTATAAATAGCCTGAAAATCACAAAATTTTCTCATTTTCAACCATTTCTTAAAATCAACACCCCCCACACAAAACTCTCTCAACTCTATCCTTGACAGGCCAAAGGCAGGTCAATCACCAACCACACCCCACCACCCGGATCGACGCTCCATCCACCACCTCTGGTGGCCGAAATCCTAGGGGATACCCAAAAATGCTCCTCTCAACTTCCCTAACCCAAAACCGACCCCAAATATCAAAATAGTTCCCCATCAAAGTAGATCTAGGCCTAAAGTTTCAATTTTTTACCTTTCCTGGCGAGCCTTTTCAACTTCCAGCGATCGATGCTTTTCTCGAGCCTAAACTGACACTAGCCTTGGTTTTTGAAAATTCTCTAGTAATATTCGAATGTTATTTTTGTGTTCTTTGCTTGATTGCTTCGTTTAGATAAAATGGACACAAATTTTTAGTCGGTATGAATGGACTCCAAAAGTGAATTTGCTCCTATGAATCTGATATCTTTCCCTGTGTAATTGAAATCCGACTCAATGTTAAAGTCAACTCTCTTATCGAATATCCTCTATTATGGGGTTGAAATTCGATTGAAAGACTTTAGTTAGAAAATAGCTCCTTGTTGTTGAGTTGAATTATGAATACGAATGACTCCTTCTTTGTGAATTTGAGTTGATCTCGAATGACTTTGAGCATGATATACTTCGTCGTGAAGTTGAAATCGTGGTTGAGCCCTTCACCGTGAAGTCGAGTCGATCTTGGATGATTTGAGCATGATATCCTTTAGTGTGAAGTTTAAATTAAGCTCGATGTTTGGAATGAGCATTAACTCCTTGTTACGAAGTTGAAATGATTTGCAGTTGATTTTAGGTCTTCTTCTAGTCCAATATCTTTCATCGTGAAGTTGAAATTTGACTTGAAGGCCTTGGTTGAAAAATATCTCCTCGTTGTTGAGTTGAGCTATGTTGTGGATGACTCATTCGTCGTGAAGTTGAGTCGATCTTGAGTGTCTTGGGCATGATGTCTTTCATCGTAAAGTTAAAATTGTGAGTCAAAGTTATAGATGACTATTCTTGAAGCCGGATATCCTCCGTCGTGGAGTTGAAATCTTACTTTAGAAAAATGGCTCCTCTCTAATGAGTTAAGCCAAAATGCAGTCAGTTTTGGATGCGTTTCTGGGTCAAGAATCCTTCATTGTGAAGTTGATACTTGGCCTAAAACTTTGACTGTAAACTAGCTTCTTACCACTGAGTTAAGCTAGAATACTCCCGAAACTAAATTATTTTTCCAAACCCAATATCCTCCTTCGTGGAGTTGAGACTAAATTCGGAAAGATTTGATTAGAAGATGGCTCTTTGTCGCTGATTTAAGCCAAAATGCAGTTAGTTTTGGATGACTTGCCTTCATAGGAAAGCTAAATAAGATGACCCCTTACAGTTTAAGTCGATATTGATTCTTTGGATGACTCCCTTTCACGAGAAAGTCAGCCTTGATTCTTTGGATGGTTCCCCCTCGCTAGTTTAAACCAGGTGAGATGCTCATTGGATGACTCCCCTTCACGAGAAAGTCATGTGAGATGTTCTTTGAATGACTCCTCTTCGTGATAAAGTCAAATGAGATATTTTTTCATCTGGATATCCTCTGTCATGGAGTTGAAATCTAGCCTAAAAACGTTAAATGGAAATTAGCTCCTCGTCGTTAAGGTAAGCCAGATCGTAGTGGCTTCTGAGTTGAAGATGATTCCAAGGTCTGTAGATCTTTCTATGGGTTGGTATAGCTCTCATTGTTGAGTTAACCTAAACCGTCATCGATTTTTGAAGACACTTTTAAATCGAGTATCATTCATCGTGAAGTTGAAACTTGACTCTAAAGCTACAAAAATTATGTATGCGGAAAATGATAAATGCAATGCTCTTAAGTATGTCTAAGATGTATACAAAATGAATTAGTTCTTATTTTATTTCTTGGACAGAGTCTTATTCTTTGTCTGTTGATCTATTCCCTGGAGTCGATCTATTTCCTGGAGTCGATCTTTCCACAGCGCTAACGACTTCATGGTGATTATCTGATCTCTATACATTTTTTCACTCAATCAAGTGATCTTGTACTTATTTCATGCTATTTTTTTGGCCTTGGTTTAGACGATGAGGTCAGGCTCTCTTTCATTTTGATTGATCATCATTATAGTTGGCGCATCAATATTCAGTGAAAGGTCTCTTCGAGTGAAAACCTCTACAACCAAGAATACCTCCTCCAAAGACTATAAAATTATTCTGATTGTCATGGAAAAAGACTAGCGAACAAGAAGGTGTGCTGCCTTGAAATTATATCTAGCATCCTTACTGCTTTTTATGAATTCTTAGATTCTTGTACTCGTAGAGTACTTTGAATTTCTTGCATGGGAATCTTGGAAGAAAAGCTTATCTCAACTCTAAACTTGTTTGAGTTATAAGCATCATCACACTCTCTTCCTTTCACGTTCATTTGGGTTGTCATTACCATCAGTGCTTGCATTTCCATTATTTCTCTTCGATATGGCATCTTCAAGTACAACAGTGAACTTATGCTTGTTATTCGGAAGGAATTTGACAACAACCAAACTTTTCTCACCATAATAAGCAGAACTTTTTCCAGCCAACTCATTACTATATATTTGTTGCACCTTCTCAGGTGACCATCTTCACAATAAAGAGATACACTGTTATGAAAGAAGTAACCATCTGTACTGTCCATATTCACTTTGAAATGATTAGTTAGAATAATTATCTTTTATCCCTTTGATCTAGTATTACGTCTAGCCATATATTGTAACGCTACCTTCTTCTTTGCAACGTCAAGCTCTGTTTTGATAGGGACCACATTAGGAGGCACGGGTGGTGGAATGAGAAGAGATTGGAAACCTGGAGGTGCCCCACACCATTTCAGGTCCTTCAATCAATTTTTGAGAAAATATGTCTTTTCTGAGATATATATTCTTTTTTAAAAAGGTTTGGTATAAAAATGATGTCAGAGCAATTGAAGCAAAGTATCAGTTCACTGAATATCAAATAAACGAATCACACAAGTTGTTTTCAAAAATTATAGTTCCTTGACAACTGTCAAGATCCATGGGTGATATAGGAAGGCAATGCGATTTGGTTTTGATTTTCATAATTTTTAAATAAGACATGAACAAAATAGCGCAACTGATGCACTCCACTGCAAGACCCTTTAGAGATGATTTCTATTTCAGTTCTTTATGAATCTTCCATTTGTTCAGGTTTCGTAGGATACTTAAGCAAGGATGGCACAAAAATATCGATCTAAAAACAAAACCCCTAAATGTTTTTGTGTAGTGAACTTTAACAGTTGATTCCTGACTCCCTTAATCCATATTTCTTCTTAATTTAATCTCAAATCCACATTTATCTCAGGCCTTACCACCTTTATTTAAACTATACTTTGTTAAACTTTATGTCATTACTTTAGATTTTGTTGGGAGATTCATCTCGACATATAGAGACTAGTTTCATGATCTGAATGTACTTGTATTCATAAAGTTTGGGAAATTAACATGGCA